TTTTCCAGAAACTACTAAAATAATAGTCGTTAGGAAGTCCTAGGTATGAACATATAATTACAAAAGGTCGCCTCCGAGGGGATAAATCACCATGTCGAACATTGCATTTTTGTTCCTGCCTCTCGCGTTCTCTTCTCTTCCCGCTGTCCTACCTTTCGTGTCTCCCTCCTCTCAAGTTCCACTGTGTCAAATTCTGTGTCCTGTTTGCCCAGATTTTTCGGAGGAAAAGGTCCAGAAATTCCAGATTCACTGCTGTCAGGTGGATACACCCTCTCCAGATCAAACTTTCCGCGGGTTTCCTTATACATTGTGTAAAGGTGGGCACCCTTTGTTTGTCAGACCTTTTGTGGAAAAAGACACTTTGCTTTTGCCTTTCAAGTAGACCCAGGCTAAATTGTTTTTACTTGCCAATGGATGTTCATGATTCATGATCGATTCATTGCAAAGGGCTTCTAATTTGCAGATCGCTTTCAGATTGAGGAACTCCCTGGCGGACGTGGTCAGCTACAACACCATTATGAAAGGCTACAACGCTCTATTTGCTTCGTCGCCGGGCGGGGTGGTGGCGACAGCAGTTGCCGGGTTTTCCCCTCAATCGGGTGAACAAAAGCATCGAATGGTCCTTAAAGATACCTAAAATAGCATCAAAATACAGGTCCTTCCCAATCTGGGATCTCTGTTTGGGTCACTTTGAAGATCCAGGTACAGCTACGCTATATAAGTACCATGTCTTCCAATATTTAAGCTCATTGCAGAATTGATTCCTTCAATGCTTTTTGGAGATCAACGACTCCTGCATAGGACCAAACGCGGGGACCTCGAGCCGAGCTTCTTCTAGGCCATCTCGCAGTAAACGACACCATGGCAGCCCAGAGAGTCTTCCAAGAGATGCACCAAGCTGGCTTGGTGGCCAGCCGTGCCACTGGGAGAAAGCATGTTTTTCGAGGTGGATGAACGGAGCGCGTGGGTGGATGCGGTGGATGAAGGAGTTTTGAAGCGCAAAGGACCGGACTGGACCGCATCTCCCAACGTCGGTGCCATAGCACTCCTGAAGTTCTTGTCTCCAACAGCGGCACCCAGCGGCACCGTGTGTCCCAGCGAAAATGAACAGATTCCTCTATATCCCTAGGCCTCCGTTTTCGTACCGTACCTGAGGTTCGGTGGGACTGGGGTGGGTGCCAGGAGGCTTCGTTTTCGTACCGAACCTGAGGTACGGTACGAAAACGGAGGTGTAGGGGATGTACGGGATGTCAATCGAACCTATGGTTGGGTTTACAGAGGTTTTGACTCACAGGACTTTGTCAAAACGCCTTTGTCATGGGCTTCTTGGCCACATCAACGACTCCCGAAATCCCTTGAGGTGACCTACCACGCGCTGCTGAACGCGGTGGTGAGCAAGAATGACCGTCGCTCTGCTTGGCGCATGGTCACTGAGATGAAAGGCAGCTTGGACAACACGAGTGAGGAGAGCTCCCTATTGATGTAGTGCATCTCCTGCTTAACTCCTGATTGTTTTTTCTCACCTGCTATAAGTTCCAAGTTCAATCATCCTCCAAATCCATCCAAGTTTGCACAAGTGAAGAGCACCTGGAGCATGTACTTGTTTTGCACCCCAAACATGCCAACAAAACCGGCGGAATCGGAATTTAGGACACTCTGAAATACACGGTTGAGTAGCAACATCAAACCAGTTTATGGCAAAGCATCCTCTATATTGTTTTGTTTGGGAGGACCAGTCAGTGGCAGCTTTCCTGAACAAGAGATTTCAACCGAGTGGTGGACATGGAAGTTGCTTGATGCAGCTGCATTTGTTGCTTCCTAAAAGGCACCCTTGTGCCAAGACTCAAACCTGGCATTGGTGTGGTTCCGCTTGGTTGGAAGCTGTTTTTGCAATTATATATATATATATCTATTAGTCAACAGGGCGAATTCTTCAACGGGAAGAGGGAAGGGTCCGTGGAACATGATACTTCGATGTGGAACAAGAACTCCCGCGACCCTGATTCTCCTCATTCACCCTTGGTACCAGCATCCTCACTGCCAGGTCTCCTCGCTAGAGGCTTGTTGGGCCCTACCCGGTCTCTTTATGTGACCTGTTGGAGGATGCTGCAATGAACCCACATGAATGAAAACTACGGTCCTGAAAAACCGGATCGTTGTCCCATCACAACGCGTTGTTGTTGTTGTTGTTGTTGTTGTTGTTGTTGTTGTTGTTGTTGT